ATCAGACTGCCATAGATAAAAACAGATTAACTCGAGTTTGATAATTAGTTGATTAACACGTGATCAATACGCTTTAGGATTATTCCTTTCAATCTAAAGATCCTAATAAAAACTTGCAACATCAGCTAGAAAAGACAAAAGCCGGGGGTAAAGTAATAGTTGTGAACCGTAAGCGACGACGAAGGGGTACTTAAGTTGATCAGTGTAACTAACAAATACAGGGAAGGCTAAACTGCCTGTCGACTTTCAGCTTAGCTGGGGAGTCTGCGTAAGTTACTGTTTTGGACGTTTCGATCAGTGAAACAAAAAATAATTAAAATAAGCAATATCGGTTCCTAGGTGCTGTCACACACATGTTGCGCAGGTTATCGTGCGCTAACAGACCCAAGGTTGTTTGTAGCTTCACGATTAAGGACCAACGTCTTGAGGACTAAAATAGGAGATATTCTGGGACAAATACGGTTTAGATCTATCTTCATCGGCACTCACCTGGTTTGACATAATTTAAGGTTGTCAATGCACTAACAGATCCCAACTTGTTGGTGGCTTTGCACTGATAAGGACCAGTATCTTGAGGTTTAAAGTTGGAGATATTCAGTGTGCCATTGTTAACAGTGGTTCGACCTTGTGGTAATGAAACAAGTCCTCTTGACCAAACAACTGTTGGTGGTGGATAACCAAATACTCGACAGGAAAGAGAAGCTACTGAATTTCCTGTGACTTTAACAACGCCTTCGGGAGTCTCGAGGAATTGTGGGGGAACTGGACGTAAAAACAAATAAACATACAAATAAACGATTGAAACTATTAGAATATGTTAACATTTCTTATGCTTCGTAGTGACTACGCTCGCTAGGATCGGTAAATTTAGCGGGCCTTATTCTACCGTTTCGAATCAGAGAAGTACGCGTAGAAGACATAAAAAAATATATCTTACTAGCGCCGTCTTCTCGGTCCATACTGTAAATTACGCCTGTTTTTCGCTTGGGTCATAAATCGAAAGGGAAAGAAACTTGCATGGTCTGTTTTTTAACGCGCGGACTTCGAACACGGCTAGTAAGGGGTATTTCCTTTCCTGAATTTTTAAAAAGCGTGGCACAGAGATTTTTTTAAACGTGCTTTTCGATACAAAACTACTAAGGTTACTAAGCTCAGAGAGGAGACATACTGTAGTTTGACAAAGCCAGTTCTAACAGGGTTGTCACATTTTATTAAAAACTGGATCTCTGGTTAATGTAATTCAAGAGTTTTCATTGGCTTAGCCATCATGGCCTATGAGCCATTATGCCATGCTCTACAAATATGACAAGCGTACGCGTGATTTTTTTGGGTGTTGTTATCTTTTCTTAGTTTCATTTTCTATATTTTGGGAGCGTTTTTATGAAAACAATTATTCCACTCGCGCTTGTTGGATATCAGGTGAATATCGCCAACTCTGCGCTATCCGCCCCGTTGGCTATTTACAATCTCACATCCAACTTGCGGAATAATAGCCCTTTCCACGGTTAATTTTTCTTATTTGCATTACAATGTAATCCAACGTGGATGCCTCGCAATTTCCGGCTAAAACCACGAAATAGCCCGAAATTGCCTCACACATGCTAGATTTTTTCGTAATGCAAATGAGCAAAGTTAACCGTGAAAAGGGCTATTGACTCCCCCTACTCTGTCGAGTCTCCCGTTTTGCGCTGGCGTCCAGTTCTCTCGCGATTGTATCCGCGCTTTGAACGATCGAATAAAAATACGAGAATATAGGACTGTGAACAGTCTAGTTGTTAGTCATTTTTACTGACTTTCTTTATTTTCCTTATTTTCGTCTCGTGTAATCTTGAATTTCTGACGAAAAGGCAGGTTATAGCTCAGTTGCCCCTTCCCGAATCAGTGCAACGTTGAAAGAACATTCAAGTTGATGTATGAAGGAGGAGGATGTTCTAAGAACTTATTTCATGTGATTATAAACGCCTTTTCGGACAAGTGTTTTAACAATTTTCATTTGCAGGGCCGTACTTGCCAGAAAAAAATTGTACGGGCCCAGTAAAACGACAAACACTCGCAGAATTCGACATAGCAATTCAATTCGGTAGTATTACATCGAGACTTGTAATCAGTCTCTTCAAGCAACAGAAAAACACACACGCAACAAAAATCTCACACCCACACACACTCGCATATAATTTAAATGTTCCACAGTTTCTTGGGACGTCTGTTGCACGCCCATAACGTGTCCTGTATTTGTCGTCTTTGTCGGCTTCTACAAAAATTATGACTGAGACAATGTCCACGAAGAAATCGTGACCGAGGCAATGCCCATGTTTAAAGTCTTTCCCTTGGTATTAAAGGTGTTTATGATGATTATAAATAACAAAAAACGAAAAAGAAAGAGACTGAGGCAAGTGTCTCGGCTTGCCTGCTACTAGCTACGGCCTTGAT